GGACCACGCTCTCACAGAATAAAATAGTAGCTTAATGCTGCTGTGTTTCCTATGGTGAGTGTAGAGAACCGGAGATCCTTTTTACTGGAAACGAGGCATTACATCTTAGTCCTCACGGGTGACAACCCATCTACATTTTGATACGTAATCGAGGATACATGTAGATGTCTATGGGCCACAGCAACCACTTACCATCAGGTGGACGGTGTGCTCGTTTGTCACCCTTATTCTATTAAAAAAAAGCTAGGGAGGCACTGCCTGTAATAATACATATATATACAATAATAATACAGCTTAATGCTGATATTTCGTATGATGAGTGCAGAGGCCTCTTTTACTGGAACCATCGCAAATCTAGGAACAAGCACAAGTTAGTTATATCAGTTACTCGACACCAAATAGTCCTTCAAGAGGCAATGTTTTTACAAGTAAGTCCCAGATAATATGCAGGCCTTATCTGTTAAAAAACTTTAAAAACTTTATTGAGCAAAATTATTAATAGAATGAGGAGTTACTATGCGGAAATCATTTTAGTTTTTAAATAAAAAATATTAAAATATTAATATATATATATATATATATATATATATATATATATATATATCATTGAAATCGAAAACCCAGCAGTCAAATAATGTTTTTATCAACATTCCATGCCTGGGTATGGGCTTTTAATACATTAAGGTTTTTAAAATCAAAGAGTAGAAATAGTTATGTGATAGTATTTTATTGATTTGCAGTGTTAATTAATATACATGGAAGTTGCAAGACTATCCTATCTCTCAAGTTGGACGAAACTGCACACGGTATGCAAAATTTCATTGAAATCAGTTCAGTAGCTTAAGAGTTCTTCGCGGACAAACAACATGACACGTAATTTTTATATATAAAGATATATATATATATATATATATATATATATATATATATATATATATACTCGTATGAGCAAATCTATCTATAGATTTATTTTTCATACCTTTCAAAAGCAAAAATTGTTTAATAAGCTAATGCTATTTTTAAATGTTTTCATAATAATTGTATAAAACAAAATACTGTTAATTAATTTTATTTAAAAAAAAACTCGGTGGGTTTATTGCCGGTTCTTCCCAGGACAGAGGTTTTTTCTAAACCAGTGATAAAAGTAAAAAATTACTTTCAATAAGAATTACTTGTAATCTATATTGAATAAATATGACTCTATTCTATTATACATTTGAGTGATTCTTAATCGAGGATAGATAACATGTAAATGTCTATGGGTCGCAGCATCCACTTACCATCAGGTGGACTAGGTGCTCGCTTGGTTGCTTGTCACCTTATTCAATGAAATAAACAAAGAAAACTACATATGCGTTTGTCTGTCTGTCACCTCTGAGTATTACGGTAAAATGCAACCGGAACACGGACCACGGATTTCTAATATTTTAGGCGAAATATGCACGTGCAAATAGCTTTATAAAGATCTCCAAACTGGTGTTATCTATAACCCGTGAAGAATCATAACCGGTTTTACTTGTTGACGGATCTAAGTTTTATCTTTTTTACGCAATAACAGGCAGTAAATCATTAAAACCGTATTAAAAGAATCAAAATGAAATAAAGTATATTTCGTTATTTAAAAAAAACTCCGTTTTTGTTCTTAATTTGGTGAAATGTCCTGTCGCGGTCACCATTTCTTGTTCAGAATATAACAAGGGAAATAAAAAGCTCCTTACAACTGTTACAAGTATATTTTCGACACAATTATAGTAGATATAATTCGGTTGCGTGATCGTTAAGATATTTTGAACTTGTCGTAACGAACGTACAACTATGTAACATAACGTAATTATATATTTGAATTGAACCGCAAGTATAGAAATACAAATAGAAACTTTTTTATTCAATATAGATTATAAATACATATTACTTATTGAAAGTCACTCTTATATTAATTTATCACTGGTTCGGAAAATATCTCTGTCCTGGTAAGGACCAACAAGAAACTCAGCAGGGATTTCTTTGTGGGGCCCCCATATATCCAAACTAGCTAGGAGACTAAGCTCTGCAGCTTATGCTGTAAAAAAGATTAGAGATCTCAATAGTGTCGAAACAGCTAGATTAGTTTATTTCAGTTATTTCCATGGTGTAATGTCTTATGGAATTTTGCTATGGGGAAATGCGGCTGATTTAGAAACTATTTTTGTTTTGCAGAAGAAGATTGTTAAAGCTATTTACAATCTAAAACCGAGAGAGTCGCTTAGAGAAAAATTTAAAGAAATAAATATATTAACTTTGGCCTCTCAGTATATTTACGAAAATTTAATGTATGTTATAAATATAAGGATATACAAAGATAGTTTTAGTAAAAAAAGTGATATACACTCTGTAAACACTAGGAACAAACACAAGCTAGTGATACCGGTCTCTCAACTCCACAGAGTCAGTAATTCGTTCTTGGGGCGGTGTATACGCTATTACAACAAAGCCCCAGGAAATAAACAAGGTATCTCTATTATCAAGTTTAAATATTTAATTAAAGAAAAGCTGTATAAAAAGGGTTATTATAATATAAATGAATTCATGGTTGATAATAACCCCTGGGAATGAGGTGGTCGCTTCCAAGCTGTTTCTAAAATATATTGTAAAATTTATTTTTAAAAAAAGTGCCGCTGGTTTCCTGCTAGTTCATCCCAGGACAGAGGATTTTTTCGGACCAGTAGTAAAGTAAAAAATTACTTTCAAAAACTATTCTTATACTTACTTTTAAAAATTATTCTATTCTCTTCTATGCCATATACAGGTTGGAAAAAACGAACCTGCTAGTAAAGTACATTAAATATTGTAAATATAAAATTTCGCTCATGGGAAACATTCCTTCGTTTTTCAAAGTAAGAATAACCACGTTCAAACATTTTTTAAAAAGCTTACTTGAGCAGGGAAATCGAATCAACTAAAAATGCAATAGTCATAACTTTAACAAAATTTAAAAACTGACCACAGCAACCACTTAACATCAGGTGTACTGTGTGCTTGTTTGTCACCCTTATCCTATAAAAAGAAAAAAGAATTCAAATTGCTAAAAAAGAAGTTATTTATTTGCTAGGGGTGAGTTTTTTCCCAAATTTATATAGGACCACCCTTGAAGTATAAATTAAAACTAATCATCAAAATTGGCTCACAATCCGCGAAGATATCCCGTAACATACATACAACATACAAAAAAAACATAGGTACACTCGAATTGAGAACATCCTCCTTTTTGAAATCGGTTAAAAATAGAAAATCACCATTTTATTGAATCAATTGAAAGGGTCTATGATAAGGATAACATCTCTATCTCTCTTTAGACACGAGGGTTCACATGAGGGTACTAACTTTTATCTAATCTGTCTTGAGGGTTACTCAGAACCCCGTTCTATTTTCGGTCGGAAGTAACGTCCGCTAAAATCTATAGTCCATAACCGCAGCTTCTGCTACTAAGAATACCTCGTTGTCAGTAAAATGAATCTTCGATTCACCACATTCACTGCACGAAAAACGGCATTTACACTGGTATTCTGTGAGAGCGCGGGCCTTCTCCCCTCGAATCGACTCATTCGTACTACCATAATATAGCTGCAGCATGGTTTTACCACGTAAAATTACTTGTATTTATCAGTTGTATATTTTTTTACGTGGTAGAGCCATACTGCAGCTATATTACTGGTATAGTTGTAGCACGAATTGGTCGGCTCGAACGGGGAAGCACCAAGCTTTCACAGAATAACAGCGTCAATTAGCAGCTAAAGTGCTGTGCTGTGTTTCGTGTGGTGAGTTTAGAGTACCGGACACCCTTTTTACTGGAGACGAGGCATATTATCTTAGACCTCACGTGTGACAACGCATCCGCCTTTTGATACATAATCGAAGAGAGATGTAGATGGCCTGCAGATGGCCTACAAGTAATTTTGCCGGATACCCGACTACCGGGCAAAAACATGAGCCGGTTATCTGGTTGCCGGTTACCCGCCAGAAGCAGGATCTGGCTCATCTCTTAGAATACCTTTTAATATTGGTTATTAGTTCGCGTAAAGTTCACACCCTCATTTTTTAATTAAGACTATAGTGGCCAAATATCAAACGCTATCACAATCTATCAGTTTAAGTCAAAGTCAGTGTGACAACACGAGACTAAACGACATCTTAAAATTGAGTTATTTGGGAATAAGTGGTGTTTTTTTTTAAGTTTTCCATCACACTACAAAGTCCTATATGTGGAGGTGACTTACATACATAAATTGCACATCTGCAAACATTCAGACTCGAAACAATTATGTGTGGGCCATACAAACCCTTGGTCTGAGCGGGATTCGATTCACTGATCGCATTTTTTTTAAATAAGGGTGACAAACGGGCACACAGTCCACCTAGATTATAGATGGTAAGTAGACGCTCTAGCCTTTATACATCTACATCTATTCTCGATTAAAAATCAAAATACAGATGCGTTGTCACCCGTGAGGAATAAAATGGTTCCTCGTTACCACTTAAAATGGGTTCCGATTCACTACACTCATAATATGAAACACAGCAGCATTAAGCTGCTATTTCACGTTGGTATTCTGTAAGAGCGTGGTCCTTCCCCGGTCGAGCCGACCCATTTATGCTTCAACCATATTTTTAATAGGATAGGGTGACTAACGAGAACACAGTCCACCTGATGGTAAGTGGTTGCTGTGGTCATTAGGCAATCTACATCTATCCTCGTTTGTGAATCAAAAATGTGAATTGTGAATGAAAAATGTTGTCACCTGTGAGGACTAAGATGGAATGCCTCTTTTCCAGTAAAAAGGGTCTCCGGTTCTCTACACTCACTATACGAAACACATCAGCATTAAGCTGCTATTTCACGCTGGTATTCTGTAAGAGCGTAGTCCTTCCCCGTCGAGGCGACCTATTTATGCTACAACCATAACATAGCTGCATGACTCTACCACGTATAAAAGTTTAATCTAATATTATAACTTCATACACAGATTGGAGCACTCACGTATCTTCTAGTCATAGCTTTGGCGGTGCCGACATACGAACAAAGCACCCCCGCCTCACCATGTCCCAACGTGTTCATGTACGAGCCGTCCGGGACCGAGCCGGGCCGGTGGTACGGAGTCGTCAACCTGTCCACAGACAGCACCCTGCACTCGTTGTGGCTCAACATTGTGCTGGACAGCAAGGCTGATATACTTGGTGTGAGTAAATGACAAAGATTATTTTCTGATCAGGTCCACTACGAGTATAACTTTTACCAATGGTTTATTATATTTAAGGCGGCTCTTCACGTTGGCCAACATACTGGCGAATGTGTTGGCCAGTAACGACGGTCATCGTGTAGAGCGGGTGTTTATGCTTACGTTGGTATTTTTGTTGTATTGTTGGCGCGAGATCCGTGTGGTGTCGGTTTCATCGTGTGGGGTCGATCACAAATTCTTGGCCAATATCTTTGCCAACACATTCGCCAGTATGTTGGCCAACGTAAAGAGCCGCCATTACGCGAATACTACACATAATCCAAGCCGAAGCATACCACTGCACGACTTCAAGATATTGTAAGCTCGTTCTGTATAGATCGGACCAAAAATTAATATTCAAAAGCTAAAGGTAGTCGGGTTAACTATGAAATTGGGCTCAGTCCCCCCCCCCCCCCCCCATGACCATGAGTGCTGTAAAGCACCCGAAACTTCGGGAATTAAAAAGTTAAATTAAACGCGATAAAATCCGTAAAATTGTTTCATTTAACTTTGACCAATTTCCACTGCTCAGCAATTTTCCACTGAAAATCACTTTCGAATGGTTTTCACAAAAAATTCTTTATGAACTATACAGTCCATCTCATGTTAGTTGTGGTAGCTCTGAGACTAAACGTTCGCTGCAAATACCATAGTCCACGAGCCACCTGGGTTTGGATTGAAATGTTATGTGCTTATTTACTACGTGATCCGCAGCGAAAGAACATAGTGAGAACATCAACGACTGCATGTTTTTGGTAAACTAAATATTTCGCGGAAATATAAAGTGCATATTCACGCACTGCGTCAGGATGATGTACATTCCCTTTTGAACCTGATGATAAAATATAATATTTAAGAAATCTTAATAACAAACTAAAATTTTAAATTTTCAAAACCCCACAAACAAACAGAGCTAATGGTCTTCAAACGGCCCGAACATATAGCTAACAATACTCTCGATTAAGGCACCTTTTAAACGAAAAAAAAACATAATAAAAATCAATTCTTTCATTTAGGAGCTATGATGAAACAGACACACACATACACACAGATACACACTACAAACATATAACACTATTTTCATCGGGGGTTAAAACGATATATCACCCATTAATACAACTTTTTCCCGTCTGGATAGATACCAACCTCTTACCTATTTCTGCCACCAAGAAGCAGTATACTCACTTTTGTGTAGACACATAGAGGAGCGGACTCGAACTCAATTCGACGTATATGGGCCTCCCACATTGGAGGGTGGGATCGCAGTATATATAGTTCTTGCAATTTACGAAGTCGAGCGGGCTTTACTTGTGGTAAACATGTATTTGTACACGCATCAAAGTGTGCGTGAGACCAAAAACGGGTATGATTAGCGACATGCAACGGATCGCTCCTTTAGACACACACACTATCGCAATGTTCATGGACACGTTCAAACACAAGTAAAGGCCGTTCGTCTTCATGAATTGTAAGAACTATGTAAAAGTTACTTAATATTAAAGTTACAGCCTATATATGGTCCCACTGCTGAGCTGGGCACAGGCTTCCCCTTATTCCTGAACGGGTTTTAGGGCAAGGAAATGTCCGCCGCGCTGCCCCAATACGTGTTTGCGAACTTCACATTTATGCGAATTTATTTTCTTATTTCTCAGATATGCAGGTTTCCTCACGATGTTTTCCTTCACGTGGTAAATCAGCACTTAGAATTGCAATTAACAATTTAATTGTGCCGGCTGGGATCGAACCAGGGTTGCGCGCGTACTGTGAAATTTACAACGAGCGCTAACCATCTGAGCTACCACGGCTCATCATGTGTACATGAAATTCAAGAACTATACCAGATGTGTCGCAATTGCTGCGACATGTACTTAGCATATATAGTGTATTTTGGGCCTGATGTAAGCCAAAACGTAAAGTGCCGTCTATCACAAGCCATAAGATTTTTCGGCCATTGTCAAAAGTCATCCACGGGATGAAATAGGGTAATATATTTTCTTATACACGATAGATCTATTGTAAGTGGCTAAATGGCTGATATTAGCAATAGCCCGCGCAACTAAAAGAGACCACAGATGGGCGGCCACCTATAATGACTAAGATGGAATACCTTATGACCTGTACTTACTCTTCAAACCGAAACCCAGCAGTGAGAACACTGCAGCATAAAATAGGTTAAAATGTGGTACCTACCTAGACGGAATCGTAAGCAGAACAGAAATACTACCATGTGCATTTGCCTGTAGGTCTTATAATGAAATGTTTATTCACTTTTCTTTCTTTTTCAGAATTGGGTGGGAGACGTAACAACGACCGACAACATAGACTTCAAGGTAGAGAATACAAAGATGAAAATCCACCCAGGACCCGCCGTAGCGGTGCGTTTTTTCGTCCAATACAATCAATTGAAGACACCAATCCCTCGTCTCCAAGCAATAAGACTTAACGGGCGAGAGATTTGCAACGCAAACAATCCTCAACCAGCAGTCGATAGACCAGAAACGAGCTCGTCGAGACCTTTATCAAGGCCGGACTCAACGCTAAATCGTCCGCAGACTGGCAGACCGGAGTCCAACCAGGAAACAATAAGACCAGTCGCGACAAGGCCAGTCGAGAGTAGACCACAAAGGCCGTCAATCAGACCTGAGGACACACCAATAACCAGACCTGTGCATGGAACCCCTTCTAACTCTGGGCCTGTGTACATTCCAACGTCTAACCCACCAATAGATCAGATCAATGTCAACCCATATGGAATGTGAGTGCTTTCATTTAACGTTATTTCCCACACTAATTTAAAAAGTTAAAGAGAGCGTTGCGAAGGTGGTTACTTAAAATATTTTTCTCTTAAAAACTGTTACATCTACACTAGGATTTTCTCCTGTATCGTGGGGGCAGTTTACATACGTAAGTTACACAAGGACAAACATCGTGCGGGATTCGAACCCGCAGCTCTTAGCGCTGCAACTCTTTGCTAAGCCACTGCCCCACGGTGCCGTCTCTGCTCAAGTTAATATTATAAATACATTAACAATTTCATAAAATGTAGTCAGTGGTTAGTTAAATAAATCTATTTCCTTTATTTCCGCGACTAATAGGCATTAAATAATACAAATTTTACAAAGGTTAGTGATAGCTATGCTGCACTCCGACAAACAGATTATTTGAAAACGAAATGTATTACGGCCGAGTTGTAATAACATCAAGACGTTAAAAACATATATCACTTATCAGTAAACACAGCAGAAATGTTGCGAATATCTGCATCCGCATCCGCCTCCGTTACAGCGTTACCGTCACAGCCTATTAAAATCCACTGCTGAACATACGAGTAGGCCTTCCACATAGATTGCCCCATATTTGACATAGTTGCCACGCTTGACAAACAGGCTGGCAATCGCAGTTTTTTAATTTTTTGTTATTAGGAAGACGCTGCTGCCCATCTCCTGATTTGTTGCCCCTGTTGTCCTTTACTACACCCACAGTATGACATGGGGTAGTGGATACCATTACACCGCCACTACTCGCTACATCCGCATCGGCATCCGCAATTGCGAAACTTCTGCATTGATGTAGACATCCGTATAAACAGTTTATCAATTCAGAGTTATTGTGGATGCGGATGTGATTCGATTTGGGATTAGAAATTGGGCGGATACCAGCGAGTGGTATGTGTCGTACGCGTATAAGATATTTCAATAAAACTATGGTCTAAAAACTCGAAAACTTCTTCAGTTTTATGAAAATGCGCCGTTCTTTATAAAATCAATGATAATATTCCTTTAATTATAACATTTTAAATATTTTTTTATAAGTTTCACTTAATTTAATCTATTTAAAAATACGTGAGGGGAAAACTTAGTGTCCTTTTTTAACCGATATAATAAATGACTTATTCTATTCTATTCTACCATATAGTGCGCTTTAAGGAATGTGAATGTGATAAATAAATATTGTGTCAGTAATTTATTCATATCATATTTTAACTAACTACCTATATGTTAATAAAACTTTAAGATTCGCATCCGTATTCTCATCTACGGATGTAAGCTTCGAAAAATTCGCATCCGCGTTCGCATCTGTGGATGTAAAACATTTTTTTTACATCTACAACATTCCTATTACAAAGCAATAAAATCATCGGGATTTAAAAAAAGGTCGAATTAAACGCGATAAATTCCGTTAAAATATTTTTATTGATATATTGTTTTAATTAGTACTTGCATGCTATTTCACATATTTCATTTATTTCACATAATATCTAAATAGATTTGAATTTGAATTTAAATCTCTATATCATATAAATCAATTTCTGTCCGTTAGTCTCGCAAAAACTCGAAAATGGTACACCGATTTTGATGAAATTTTTTGTATGTATTTGAGTGAGTCCCTGGTTGATCTAAACGATTCAAAATTGGACCCGGTAGGTGGCGCTGTTGTCGAGATGCAGTAATCACCCGTGCGAAATGGGATAGTTTTCACACCCAAATACCTAACAGTGCCACCAACAGTAATTGTAACTTATTTAGTAGCAAAATAAATTTATTAAATTTATAAGAAAGGTTCTCCAGTGGTAGCCTCGTAGTGGGTGCAGGCATTCCATGGGTCAAGACAAAGACCGTACTTTGGCCAATCTATATGGAAGGCTTAAGTTTAACAGTGGACTTGTGACTGGTTGTGATAAAGTAGTAAATAAAGTAAAGCTGTTCCATTCTATTCCGGAACTGATCTAGCTCACGAACATCATAAAATGTTAAAATATTCATGTGCTCATCATCGCGATGGCTGACGGTCGACTACTGTGCGAATTACGCGGAATTTTCCGCCTCGCACGAACTCACTGTGGAATGAACTGTCGCCAGCGGTTTTTCCGGACCGATACGACTTAGGAACCTTCAAGAAAAGACCCTACTTATCTTCTGATATTGCAGATGTTCAGGGGTGACGGTGATCACTTACCATCAGGTGATCCGTAAGCTTTTGGTCTCCTCTTCCAAAAAATCCCCTTTTTTTTTTGTCGTATTTAAATTCGAAAACTAAACCTACCCAATTTTACAAAATGCAAAAGCAAATACCTAAAAAGAACAAATCAAGCAATAATAAAGTTAATATTTATGTGTTACCGCGGTCTCTTGAGAACGAGATGGAAAATTTAAGGGTCATTGCCTTGAGACTTGACTTTCAAATTACCATCGCAATAAGTTAAATATGCCTCCGTGTTTTGCTTACTTGCCAATTTCTTACTTCAAAGAAATGAGCAGTATCACACTAGCACAATTCGACTGTGTTTTTAGTTTTTAGTATATTATGCGATATCTTTATCGAATGTGAATCGATTTTTTTGATTCTTTTTTTATTAAATAGGTTACATTTCAGGGGTGGTCCTATATAAATTTGTAGCAAAAATTCTACCCCCAAGGATGACAAAATGGGGGGTAAAGTTTTTAATGTAACTATTTAGACTTTCGATCTAAATAAAGATATAGCCGGTATATAATCTAATTCAATAACATGCATTTCATAAATGTCTATCGAAAAAGTTAAAATAATCGCTTAAAAAAACGAGAATGCTAACGCCAAAGATTTTTCCCGGCGATTAAATTATAATTTTTTTTATCTCAATTAATATAAAGTATTTTAAAAATCCATTCAAATAAGAATTTAATTTTCCAAAGCATTATTTTAAAAAGTATAAATTTTCGCGCGTTAAAATTTTGTCTTAAACGCGATTAAATACGAACAAAATGTTCAACCTGGTTTAATTATACGACTATGCCCAATGATATTTTTTACTTACTTTGCGTACGAAACGTTGCAATGCCTCTTTATTGTCAGAAAAATTAACGATCCCGCGCGTTATAATTTACCAAAGTTTCATCGTAACCGAATGAATGGTAGGAATTCCACAGAATAAATAATAGTACAAAAAGGAATACTTAGGACAAAAATACTTACAAACAAATGTTTATTTTTTATTTAAAAAAAAACCTTCGCTAGAGCGCACACAACGAAAACTTGCATCGTAATCGAATGAATTAATTATAATTTGTATAAGAGGTATGCGCATAGAAGAACAAACATACAAACAAATATTCCTTTTTATAATATTCATATATTTATGTGTGCTTCTCGCCGGATGATCCCAGTGCTGTTGCTGACTCTGTCACTGATGTGGTGCTACAGGGAATGGAACTATTTATTCCATCATCTGTGGTACCCATCGGAGGCAGATCTCAGCCTTGGTTTGGTCGCTCCTGTAAGACTGCATTGCGCAGTAAGCAGGAGTGTTATCAAGCCTGGGCTGCAGCTTCGGTGACTCGGGATGTAAACACCAGCACACTTAAAAAGAAGTATAACTTCGCCTCCAGGTCCTTCAAAAGAGTTATTGCCAAGGCAAAGTCAGAGCACATAGGCAGAATTGGCGAGAAACTAGTTCGCCTTCCTTCGGGAACCCGTGCATTCTGGTCTCTCGCCAAGGCTGTCCAAGGGAATTTCTGTAAGCCATCACTACCATCTCTGCACAGGGAGGACGACTCACTGGCCCAAGACGCAAAAGACAAAGCCGACCTTTTAGGCTCCCTTTTTGCGTCCAACTCGACTCTTGATGACGGGGGGAAAATACCGCCGACCATCCCGCGGTGCGAGTGCTCCATGCCGGATGTGCTATTCTCACAGCGCTCAGTTCACAAAGCACTTCTCTCCCTGGACATCCAGAAGTCGAGTGGGCCTGACGGAATCCCCCCAATTGTGCTGAGGACGTGTGCTCCGGAGTTGGCACCGGCCCTAACGCGTCTTTTCCGGTACTCCTACTCCCAAGGCGTAGTCCCGAATTCATGGAAGACAGCTTTTGTCCACCCGATCCCTAAAAAAGGCGACCGCTCAGACCCGTCCAACTATAGGCCTATCGCGATCACCTCCTTGTTCTCCAAAATAATGGAATCCATTATTAACTGCCAGCTCATCCGGTACCTTGAGGATCACCAGCTGATTAGTGACCGCCAATACGGTTTTCGTCGGTGTCGATCAGCTGGTGATCTTCTGGTCTATCTGACCCATAGATGGGCGGAGGCAGTAGAGTCCAAGGGGGAGGCGTTGGCCGTTAGTCTGGACATTGCGAAGGCCTTTGATCGGGTTTGGCACAAAGCGCTTCTTTCAAAGCTGCCTTCCTATGGGCTTCCCTAGAAATTGTGCAATTGGATCACCAGCTTTCTTGCAGATCGGAGCATCAAGGTCGTTGCAGACGGTGCATGTTCTGACTACAAGCCTATTAACGCTGGTGTTCCACAAGGCTGTGTGCTATCACCAACGCTGTTTCTTCTGCATATCAATGATATGTTGCTAACTGGTAACATTCATTGCTATGCGGATGACAGCACTGGTGACCGGTGCTCTATACACCGGCCGGGCCAATATTTCTCGGGAAAACGTCGCCGAGTACCGGAACAAACTTGTGTCTGAAGTCGAGTCTTTGCTGGACAAAGTCTCGGATTGGGGGCGACTAAATCTAGTCCAGTTTAATCCTCAGAAGACACAAGTTTGCGCGTTTACCGCTAAAAAGAACCCCTTTGTCGTATCTCCTCAGTTTCAAGGCACTCCCCTTCTTGCCTCAGCCAGTATCGGTATCCTCGGAGTCGACATATCGAGTGACGTGCAGTTTCGTGGTCACTTGGAAGAGAAGGCCAAATTGGCCTCTAAAAAGCTTGGCGTGCTCAGCAGAGCGGGACAGTATTTCATGCCGGCACACCGCCTGCAACTTTACAAGGCGCAGGTTCGGCCTCACATGGAATACTGTTCCCATCTCTGGGCAGGGGCTCCCCAGTGCCAGCTCCTTCCACTTGACCGCATCCAGCGCAGAGCGGCTCGAATCGTCGACGACCGAGCCATTTCCGATCGGCTCGATTCATTGGCACTGCGAAGAGATGTTGCATCTCTTTGCATTTTCTTTCGCATCTACCATGGGGAGTGCTCTGAGGAATTGTTCGGATTAATCCCAGCCGCCAAATTTCACGAACGCACATCGCGGCAGAACTCCCGATACCATCCACACCATCTGGATGATTGGCGGTCCACCACTGTGCGATTTAGAAGATGTTTTCTTCCTCGCACAACTTCCTTGTGGAATAGTTTACCACCAGGGATTTTTCCGGACCGATACGACTTAGGGACCTTCAAGAAAAGAGCCTACTCCTTTTTAAAAGGCCGGCAACGCATCTGCAATTCCCCTGGTGTTGCGGTTGTTCATGGGCGGCGGTAGTCACTTACCATCAGGTGAGCCGCATGCTCGTTTGCCCCCTCTCCTATATAAAAAAAAAAAAAAAAACGGAACATTTTTATATTACGGGAGACTTGTTTTTATCTTGTTTATGAGTTGCTAAATTACTTCATCTGCCTTTTTTCGTGACTGGTAACACTGATCAGCGGCTTAATAATCTTATTTCGTCATGCTAAATGACTTGTGGATTTGACTCGCGAAATAATTACAACATGATACAACAAGACATAACTGTTTTTACTTCACTCACCGTTTCTTGTATTGTCGGAGGACCATGTTAGATTGCAGATACCGTTACCATCTGTGATATTTGCCATAGTGGCTACTCTTAGAAAGCGGTTTGTCAACGCAGCTGCAAGATCCCTCCCGCCGCCTGAGTGATATGTTAAAAAAATAGATCCTATTACGTGCCTCTATATAAATTCATCAAAAATACTGTGGGGAAATTATAATAAACCGAATAAAAATACTCAATACTTGGCCTAAAGGTCTAGATACCAGGCCATAAACTCCAAAAAAAAATTTGTCAACGCAGTTTCTTTCATTATTAATCAATTGTTATCATAAAGATACTGCTGTCCATCACCTGTTACAGTTTCCCTCTCTCACCTCTTACGACACACACGGGGTGATATGGGGTAGTGGATTTTCTTACACCGCATCTACGTGGATGTTAGAATGCAGATAAATATGGTAAATTAACAATAAAACAGATACCTACAAAAAGACCTAAGACAAAGAGAATGTACAGAGTACTGCTTGGCACTTTTTGCATCGGCATTCGGCATCTTGCCATGAAAAAAATGTTATTTTAAATGACGCTTATGTACGTTTATCAATAATAATATACTACGAAAGGAACTTCCTTCCAACCGAATGTTCCACGACACTCACGCATGTTTTATTTTACTATAGTTTTTTTTTTATAGGATAGGGTGACAAACGAGTTCACAGTCCACCTGATGGTGAGTAGTTACTGTGTTACCCTTAGACATCTACATCTATCCTCAATAAAGACTCAAAATTCAGATGCGTTGTCACCCGTGAGGACTAAGACGGAATGCCTCTTTTATAGTAAAGTTCTTCATTGGAAGACGAATTATTGATATTGTGGACATTAGCGGCATCAAAATGGAAAAGGAAACATTGGGTGTGCCCAGTAAATAAGAATAGAGAACAAGATGGAGAATTTTAGAGACTGTTTTGTAAATGAAGGTCCCCATTTCTGTGTCAATTTCTAACCATGCTTCTGCTACTTTTCCTCGGTTTTTATAATCATCAGTTCATCGTAAAAAACATTGCATGAACTAAACGCACTTTTTCATATCATATTATTTCTGTTACCATTATCTGTCAGCATTGTATTAACGTATTCATGAAGACACTAACATTCCTTCTACACAACAGTGATAGCCGGCCACAGTCTAGCAACAGGCCAAACAACGGATACGGCCTGACCACATCTTCGTACGGTACCACCACGGAGAGTGATAGCAGCGAAATTGATGATTTCGATTCCGTAAGGTGAGTGAATTACTGGCAACACTGCTTCGACGCCTTCAGCAACTGTCGCTTGATCCATAGTAATTAAAGCAATTACATACATATGTATGCACCTGATTTCTCATTTCACTGCAATTTTTAACTATTTCTGTGTGTGTAAATGTAGCCGTGTGTGTGAAAAATTATTGCTATTACAAATTCAAGCAATAGCAAAGTAGAGACTATAAAATCTATTGCATATTAAATAATATTTTTGGGAAAATACATCAATTTTAGAAAAGATGACAAAAATAGAAAGAGGTAAATAACACCAACTCATAACCACAAAACGAACTCTACCTAAGTAATAAAATACTGTCCAAGGAATTTTCTGTCAGCCATCTATTCCATCTCTGCACAGAGAGGACGACTCACTGGCCCATGCCGCAAAGGAGAAAGCCGATCTGTTGAGCTCTCTCTTTGCGTCCAACTCGACTCTAGATGACGGGGAGAACACACCGCCGACCATCCCGCGATGTGAGTGCTCCATGCCGGATGTGCGGTTTACACAGCGCTCGGTTCCCAAAGCACTCTTCTCCCTGGACGTCAGCAAGTCGAGTGGGCCCGATGGAGTCCCTCCCATTGTGCTGAAGACGTGTGCTGCGGAGTTAGCACCGGTTTTAACGCATCTTTACCGGTACTCCTACTCCCGAGGCGTAGTCCCGAATTCATGGAAGACAGCTTTGGTCCACTCGATCCCTAAAAAAGGCGACCGCTCAGACCCGTCCAACTACAGGCCTATTGCCATCACCTCCTTGTTCTCCAAAATAATGGAATCCATTATAAACTGCCAGCTCATGAGGTACTTTGAGGATCACCAGCTGATTAGTGACCACCAGTACGGTTTTCGTCGGGGTCGATCAGCTGGTGATCTTCTAGTCTATCTGACTCATAGATGGGCGGAGGCAGTAGAGTCCAAGGGGGAGGCATTGGCCGTTAGTTTGGATATGTCCAATTGGCCGTTAGTTTGGATTTGTGCCAGACCCGATCGGGGTCTGGCACAAAGTGCTTCTTTCGAAGCTTCCTTCCTATGGGCTTCCCGAAAAATTGTGCAAATGGATCACCAGTTTCCTTGCTGATCGGAGCATCAAGGTCGTAGTAGACGGTGCATGCTCTGATTTCAAGCCTATCAACGCTGGTGATCCACAAGATTGCGTGCTATCACCGACGCTGTTTCTCCTGCATATCAATGATATGTTGCAAACTGGTAGCATTCATTGCTATGCGGACGACAGCACTTATATACCGGCCGTGCCAATATTTCTCGGGAAAACGTCGCTGAGTACCGGGACAGACTTGTGTCTGAAGTCGAGTCTTTGCTTAACAAAGTCTCGGATTGGGGGCGACTAAATCTAGTCCAGTTCAATCCTCAGAAGACACAAGTTTGCGCGCTTACCACTAAAAAGCACCCCTTTGTCGTATCTCTTCAGTTTCAAGGCACTCCCCTTGCTGCCTCACCTAGCATCGGAATCCTTGGCGTCGACAAATCGAGTAGTGTGCGGTTTCGTGGTCACTTGGAAGGAAAGGCCAAATTGGCCTCTAAAAAGCTTGGCGTGCTCAGCAGACCGAGACAGTATTTCATGCCGGCACATCGCTTGCAACTTTACAAAGCGCAAGTTCGGCCCCACATGGAATACTGTTCTCACCTCTGGGCCGTGGCACCCCAGTGCCAGCTCCTTCCACTACTTCCAACTACTTCCACCGCATCCAGCGCAGAGCTGTTCGAATCGTCAACGACCGAGTTCTTTCTGATACACTGGCACTGCGTAGAGATGTTGCATCTCTTTGCGTATTTTATCGCATCTATCACGGGGAGTGCTCTGAGAAATTGTTCGGATTAATTCCAGCCGCTCAATTTCACCATCGCACATCGCGACAAAACCCGCCTTACCATCCATACCATCTGGATGATTGGCGGTCCACCACTGTACGTTTTAGAAGAAGTTTTCTCCCTCTCACAACTTCCTTGTGGAATCGATTACTATCAGCGATTTTTCCGGACCGATACGACTTAGGAACCTTCAAGAAAAGAGCTTACACCTTTCTAAAAGGCCGGCAACGCATCTGCAATTCCCCTGGTTCCCCTGGTGTTGCAGTTGTACATGTGCGGCGGTAGTCACTTACCATCAGGTGAGCCGCATGCTCGTTTGCCCCCTCTTCTATAAAAAAAATACTTAACTTAAAATAATAAATAGCGAAATAGGAATGCTACATTAAATTTATTTTCCGCAGTAAGCCAGACCCCAGCGTGTATTTCACTGGTGGTCTACAGACCATTATAGTGCCGGGCGACTCGGATGGTTCCAAGAACAACAACAACTATAATGGCAACAGCAACAACAGCAACAATCGTAAACCAAGGGTAAGTTACTATGCAATTTTTTTTTTTATAATTTTAAGAGACAAACAACCTAAGTGTGCGATTTATATTTTCTTTTATTTTCTAAAGCTAAGAGCATATATAATAACAAATTTATATGGAAAATGCATAAAGATTAAAAATGTGTACTTTTTTTAGAACTTTTTTTAAAAAAAAAGCTAGTTTTGCGTCTTTTTTGGTAAAAATACCATATTTATTAAAAACAAGATGGCAACCCTATCCGTGATAAGATCACTTAATCAGTCAATCAAATAATAAAGGGTCACTTCTTTATCGACACCATTTTGACGGTTGACATTATAGTAAATACTATTCAATTTTAGTAGTGTAGTTTAAGTTAATTTTTCGAAGCGTTCCTAATCAAGCTTTTTTGATTTTTTTCTTAATATAATAAGTATAGTACACGACTTTGTGTTTTTGTCTCCGTCCTCCTCCTAGTTTTGGTTTTATAGGGTGGCAAAGCTTAAGATGACCATATTACCCTCACGTACCTTAGTGCTACACCTAGTGGGTAACCTTACTGAAGACCGGCAAGGTCTAAAAAAAATCTGCAGCACCATATGTCTATGTTCTAAGAACAACTCACAGTAACCATTTTATGTCAATACTTTCGCGCAACAGGTCAGGAAATACGGACAATCAATTTATTTTAAAACCTCAGAAAAATGGAACAAAAATGTGGTACTTATTCCAAGAAGTTTTAAAATAAATTATGCTTATCTAATTTTTAAGATAGATAATCGTTCAACCCGGGCAAAGCCAGGACGAGACGATAGTATTGCCTTTTATTGCTTGATTACGAATTAATTTTAAGTTATAATTTGCATGAAAATTGTTTTCTCAGTAATGATATCATAATGCAAAATGTAGACTATTAATGACGCACATTCGAGTATCCAGTCCATTTTTATACAAATCCGGTCGCGGAATATCTTAAACAGACGTTATAATTTTATAATTTAACGAAAAAGTAGCGTCTCTAATCACTTGACCTTTATCAAGGATTATTAACATTTATTTTAATTTTCATAGTGTATTCAATGTATTTTTAATTAAAATGTTTTTCATCGCAAAAGTGTTCCGTGTATTTTTTTTATTAAAGATGTTAAAATTAACTAAGATCCGCGTAAAAATAAGAATGATGTTTCATAACTAGTTTGAAGAACACCTCCCCCCGCCCCCTCCCGTATCCGTATCGTATCCCCGTCAGCATTACACGACTGCAATAGCACTATTTGGCGGCAGTAATGGATTGGAGCAGGGGTTCCCAAACTTTTAATGTATTGGATTGGAACACTCATGAAATCCCTTTTATTTTATGGAGCCCCACATCAAATGATTACATATCATAGACAGTACAATTTATGTGATATTATATTATAATTCTCGCTAACTACCTACGTGTTTATATAAAACAGTCATGGGTTCTTCTCATCCCATATTTCGCGCCAATTCAAAATTGTATTTGACTAAAGTGTGTACATATTTAACAAGCTAAATAAACGACTTTACAAAACCCTGGTGACTTTTCCCTTACCCTTAGGTTCCGCGGATGCCACTTTAAGAATCTCTGGGTTAGAGGGTGATATCACCCAAACTAGGTAGGGTAGAAAAGAAGTCCTAACACCTTGCACAATGATGTTTGCTCGCTGATATAAAACGATTTAGGTTTCAGATCAGACTGTTAGCTGCTATAATAACGTTTTATTTCATCATCATCATCATCATTACAGCCCTTCACAAGTTCACTGCTGCACATAGGCCTCCCCCAAAGAATGCCACAAAACACGGTCCTTAGCCACCTGGATCCATCGACTTTCTGCATGTCTTACCAGGTCGTCACTCCATCTAGTGGGAGGCCACCTCACACTGCCTACCGGTACGAGGCTGCCACTCGAGAACCTTGCCACTTACCATCAGGTGGGATAATAGTAGAATAGAATAGAATAACTTTTATTCAATATAGATTACAAGAATACTTATTGAGTCATTTTTAGGGTTCCGTACCTCAAAAGGAAGAAACGGAACCATTATATGATCACTGTCTACTGTCCTTTGGAGCTGTAAAAAAATTCAACTTCTAAAAAAATCCAACACAATCAAAAGATACAGCCGTTTATGCCGCAAATTTTCGACATTCGCAAGGAAATCAAAACCTACAGTGTACTTCCCGTGAACTCAGAATCTTAAAATTTGTTACGAAGCAACGTATTAGTATTTTAGTTACATCATATAATAAAAATATTTTTAATAATTTTAAACTTATATATTTGTTTAGATTAGATTTAGATTTGTTCGGAACCCTCGGTGCGCGAGTCCAACTCGCACTTGGCCGATTTTTAACTTTTACCACTGGTTTGAAAAAACAAACCTCAATCCTCGGCAGAACCTGCAAGAAACCCAAGGGGACTTTTTTAAATAAAATAAATTAATAATATATTATTTTATACAATTGGTACAAACACATCAGAAACAGCTCGGTAGCGATCACCTCATTCCTAGGGGCTATGTACTCTTTAGTAGTAGGCATAATACACCTTACTAAACAATTTTTGCTTAATATTTTTTTTATCTTTTTGATAGAATAGAATAGAATCATTTTTTATTCAATATAAAGCACTGTCATTTTTTACTTCACCACTGGTTCGAAAAAAATCCTCTGTCCTGTGAAGTACCTGCAAGAAACCCAGCGGGACTTTTTTTTAAAGTAAATTTTACATCGATTTGATAGATAAGGCCTGCACTATCGTTCGAAAGTGTTTATTGAGACTTTGAGCTTATTAGATTTTCAAGTCAATCGGTCAAGCCGTTTCAAATATTTTAAAAAATAAAAACCTAAAAAACAAAAATGAAATAAATTTTCGAGCGTTGTACTAAAAAATTAGCGGGAAGTTCCAGGAATGGCCTGCAGGGTCAACCGTTTTTCAAATTTTTTTATATTAAATATTTTATAAATGTTTTATTTATAATTAAATATTTTGTTAAATATTATTGTGATTGTGACATTTCATGTGACCTCAACTTTTAGAGTAATAAATAACTTTTATAATGCGAATATTAATAAAATAGAAATCACATTTACATATAGCTGTGTAAGATAATGAAGAGAAAAAAAAATGTTTTCGTATATAAACGCGAATACATTGGCTAAAACAAATTTTACGGAACACTTTTTTTACACATGGTCGCGGAGAGACAGCTGTTTGTATATGACATGCCATGCAGAAAGCTGCGATAATTTTTTTTTATATGAGAAGCGAGTCAGCTATCTACAATTTATTTTGTAAATAGGATAATTTCAATTAAAAATATGAACATTGTAATTTCAAATTTTCCCCACATTTTTTACCAGCTAAATAATATATCGTATTTCATTGGAAATTAGATGTACGTCGTTAAAAATGATGCCAGCAAAGCAAAAAATTTTGAAAATTGGCCCTTATTGAACTTACTTTTGATTAAAATATAACCAATCAATAAACACTTTCGAACGATAGTGCAGGCCTTACCTATCAAATTAATGTAAAATTTACTTTTAAAAAAAGTCCCGCTGGGTTTCTTGCTGGCTCTTCCCAGGACAGAGGATTTTTTTCGAACCAGTGGTGAAGTAAAAAATGACTCAATAAGAACATGTGATCTATAATGAATAAAAAATTATTCTATCAAATAGATAAAAAAAATATTAAGCAAAAATTGTTTAGTAAGGTTTATTATGCCTACTACTAAAGAGTACATGATTGACAATAACCCCTAGGAATGAGGTGAGCGCTACCGTGCTGTTTCTGATGTCTTTGTACCAATGCTATAAAATAATATATTGTAAATTTATTTTATTTAAAGAAAGTCCCATTGGGTTTCTTGCTGACTCTGCCGAGGATTGAGGTTTTTTTTTCAAACCAGTGGTAAAGTAAAAGATGACTCAATAAGTATTCCTATAATCTATATTGAATAAAAGTTATTCTATTCTATTGTATTCTACTACTATCCCACCTGATGGTAAGTGGCAAGGTTCTCAAGTGGCAGCCTCGTACCGATAGGCAGTGTGAGGTGGCCCCCCACTAGATGGAGTGACGACCTGGTAAGACATGCAGAAAGTCGACGGATCCAGGTGGCTAAGGACCGTGTTTTGTGGCATTCTTTGGGGGAGGCCTATGTGCAGCAGTGAACTTGTGAAGGGCTGTAATGATGATGATAATGATGATAAAATAAAACGTTATTATAGCAGCTAACAGTCTGATCTGAAGAATCGTTTTATATCAGCGAGCAAACATCATTGTGCAAGGTGGTAGAACTTCTTTTCTACCCTACCTAGTTTGGGTGATATCACCCTCTAACCCAGAGATTCTTAAAGTGGCATCCGCGGAACCTAAGGGTAAGGGAAAAGTCACCAGGGTTTCGTAAAGTCGTTTATTTAGCTTGTTAAATAAGTATCCCACCTGATGGTAAGTGGTGATTCAACCGAAAATGGTAAAGCGTACTGACTAGTACACGGGTTCCCAAAGTATTTTTCTACACGCCACCCTGCTGCCTAAAATAGAAATGCCCACGCCCCCCTTCACTTCGATGCAAGGAAGAGGAAATCAATGGGCTAGCTAAGTATCCCAATCGAACTAATAAAGTGAGTTTGTGTCGTTTTTTACACTGTCATTAACTACTCAACATTTCGAGGGTATAGGATAGGACATAAGGTACCTTTTATATAAAAAAAGTATTGTTCCCGTAAGATAGAAATTGATTGACAAAATCTATATTAACGCGAGCAATGCCTCGGGAAAAGGCTAGTTTTAAAGTAAAAGGATAATGAATAATAAACAGGGGTAAAAAACCATAATCAAATATTTTTATTAAGATTGTTGTGACAAGAAAAACAAAGAAATACATAATCGTCACGGTCAGTGAGATGGATGGGCTTGCATATTTTTAACAATGTTTTCAATTCTGGGTTGAATAGAAGATAGAGCACAACGTAGATCACTAGTGAT